GAAGAATGAGGCTGTGGCTGAGGAAGTGAAGGAGATACGGGACATGGTGAAGGGATTAACGAGACAGGTTACAGAGATTGTGACCGCCACAGGGGCCACGGCCTACCGGGACAAACCTGGAGGGCCCTATTCRCTTCGCTGGGACCGTAGGAACAACGATCCCTGGAGGAGTGTCGAGGATAGAAATCCTCGGACGCTGATTGATTATCGTATGAGGGGGAGAGAGAGAGACGATGAATTATGGCGACGCAGGGACGATGAGATAGACCGAGACCGCAGAGATCGTGAGCTGTTTATGCGAGCAAGGAGGCTAGATGATTACCCCCGAAGCCCTTGCTATGAGGCCGATCGGGGTAGAGGCGACTCCCGTGGCCGATGGGAGAGGGACGACAGATACGAGAGATCGGACCGGGATGGATATAGGGACGACAGATACGAGAGGTCGGGTTGAGAAGGCTACAGAGGGAGTAGATATGAGAGAGGAGATCAGGACTGGGAACGACAAGATGGGACACGCGGACGGTTTCAGCGCGGGGGAGATGCAAGAGAGCAGCGCGACGAGACGCGAGGATGGTACAACCGTGGGGACCGACGCGATGAGTCACGAGGACGCTATGACTCGGGGGACCGCCGGAATGACTCGCGAGGGTAGTATGAGCGAGTAGGGTCTGGAGGAGACCGGCACAACGATTCGCGCAGTCGGAATGAGAGAGGGGGATATGGTGTCTCATCAGAACCATATCCAAAGTCGCCTGACCCCAACGCGGCCAGGAATTCGATGTCTAGAGGCGCAGACGACAGGGCATCTACTCCCAGGAACTCATGCGTCTACTGTAGAGGAGAAGATCATATCAAGAGGGATTGCCCGGGCAATAGATGAGGGGTTTGTCGTGCTTGACGACCGCAAGTACGTCAAGTGGGCAGATGATCTGGGAGATGTATCAATGTTTCCTTCGATGAAGGAGAACGTCGAAGCAAGGAGAATAAAGACGAGTAAAGGAATGGAGCCGGTCAGGAGCCAGAGCATCAAGATAATCTTTGAGGGGGATATCGCGACCACACCCATAAGTGTGGCAGCCACCAAGTCAGCAAGAGGGTCTACATCGAAGAAGACTGACACGGATTATGTGATGACGGAGAAGGACGGGCAGCGGATCGATGGAGAGGAGGTTATCCTTTCGCCACGAAAGAGGGGAGTGAAGAAGTTCTTAATGAAGAGTTCGTTGGACGAGATTGACACGGTTGAGCCACTGAGGCGAGCTCTTCGGCAACCAATGCAGTGCTCTATTCTGGAGTACCTGGCGGCATCGAAGCCGGTCCGTGATGAATTACAGATGATCACGCGGAAGACTCGCATACCTCTATCAGAGGAGGGTCTGGGAACCCCTAAAGCGGAGGCTTCTACAGTAGCGGTAACGGGGGTGACAACCAGAGCGGATCGCATGGCGACAGCCCTTCTCGATGGGATGGAAGGCGTGCCTCCAGACAAGTTTTATATACTTGGTAGCGGGGCTGTAGAGACGATTATAAACGATGGAGCGGTACTTGATGCTGTGATTGATAACGGCAGTGAGGCTGTCATCATCGACGAGGACCTGGCGGTACAAGTTGGACTGGGCCTCGATGGGTCATACCTATTCGAGATAGAGACGGCTGATGGGAAAAAGCAACAGATCACTGGGGTTTGTCACAAGGCAGCCATAGAGGTCCAAGGGGTACGAGTGACCTTGCCTGTCTTTGCAGTCAAGAACTGCAGCTCCGACCTGCTCTTGGGTCGAACGTGGCTGAGCCACATGCATGCGGTGACGATAGAGCGACCTGATGGGAGCCAAACATTGTCCATTAAGAAGTCAGACGGGACGCGGGTAATGATTGAGACAGTGGAGCCTCGGGACCCGAGGAACAGAGCAGCTCTCACTGTGGGTGCAAGACCCAGTGATCAGATTAAGTCTATACCCATCTCTGGCCGCGCGGTGCGATTTCGCGAGAAGAGATATGGACTACTGCTCACAGAGGAAGAAGGTAGGATGGTGGAGGTAGAAGACTTAGGGAGTCGGCTAATAGTGGACGGCAACTCGTACCCGAAGGAAAAAGATGAGGAATTTGGCGGTGTGGTATCCGTGTCTTTTTTAAGGGCACGGCCCCCTATGGGGGGCTACCCAAGCGACACAACCGAGTAGCTCAAAAAGTTAAGCCAGCGGTGGTGGGCCGCGAGCGATCGGCACTGGAAGGGGTATCAGAAGAAGAGATCGCGAAAGAAATCAAAGAAAGAAAGAAAAACGAGCCGCAACGCCTAACGGAAGAGAGGATAGCAGGGATGGACATCGGAGATGGAAATTTGACCCCACAGGAGCGAGAACGTGTGATAGAAATCCTGAGGACATGTGATAAGGCCATTGCTTTCAGCGACGCGGAGCGCGGTAGGATTGACCCTCGATACGCTAAGCCAACTAGCATTTATACGATTCCACATGTTCCTTGGAATGACGCGGGGTGGAAATACGCCAAGAAAAAGAAGGAACAAGTTATCGCTTTTCTGAAAGAAAAGATGATTTCCCACGTTGCGGAGCCATCTGATAGCGCTTATGCTAATGGATGGTTCTTCCTACGAAAGCCGAATGGCAAGATCCGATGGATCCAGGACCTTCAGAAGGTCAACGCGGTGACGATACGAGACGTGGGTTGCGTGCCGCACGCCGATTTACTGGCAGAAGGCGCGGCAGGTAGGTCGATCTATTCGGTCTGTGATCTGTTCTCAGGCTATGATGAAGTACCGCTTAACCCTAGGGACAGACACCTCACGGCTATGCATACGCCATTGGGACTAATTCAAATGATGRTTGTCCCTATGGGWTGGACTAATGGGGTAGCCGTTTTTCAGAGAGCCATGGTAGCCGTCCTCAAGGACTTCATCCCTGATAAGGTTGAAGTTTTTCTGGATGACTTTCCTATAAAAGGGTCAGTAGACAGGGATGAGACAGAGGTTATACCTGGAGTTAGAAGATTCGTCGAGCAACACCTAACAGACATTTGCGCGGTACT